ATCAAGAGGAAGACGTGACAAATGGTTAGGCGCAGGGCGAAGAATCATACTGGCGAAAGATATAATGGAAAATGTGAAGAGGAATGCAACAAGTATATAAGATAGTTTTTGGCTAAACATACATACATATCGTCGCTTAAAGTACAAAACCGCGTATCTACGTTCTGGAAAACGTCGTAACTGACATTTGTGCCAAAAGGGATATTTGCTCACCGGTAGCTCCTGGTATCAAGCCCTTATCCATTCATACTGAAATATCGATACTTAGATATAAGAAGAAGAGAAAATTAAGGAAAAAAGATGAAACTGTCTTGAAATACAGTAAAACCCGCTTAAGTACCTCACGAAAAATTTCAGCTTTTTGAGGTACTTAAGCGGGTTGGGTACTTAAAAGAACCCGCTTAAGTACCTCGATGCGGGTACTTAAGCGAACATAATAAATCTTCTTGTTAACTTACATAATAATAAAACATGAACATTTAATGAAGTATACGTAATTTAAAACCAAGATCGTAGCATTATTTAAACACGTAAACACATAAAAAACAGATAAAGCAATGTTATGTCATTTTCATAAAAATTAAATTAAAAAGGCATTGATAATACATATTTATACATACATACAACAGAGCATATCATTTTGGACCAAATTCAAATTATATTGTTTGCCACTTATGTTTATTTTTTAATTTTTAATTAATTAATTAATTCCCTAACAAAAACCATAGAAACTTAAAATATAAGCTTAAAATTTTGCAGAACACTGAAAAAAAAATTCAGCAAAATTTCAAACTTGTTTTTCAGAAGTGTTAAAATTTTTTATGAGTATACAGTTTTATAGCCCATTCAATTTTAGTGTAATAATACGCAGGTTTCAAGTGGCTAAAATTACCGTTGATTTTTTAGAATTTTTTTTCCGAAGGTGCGTAGCGCTGCCAATGAATTTCAAAATATGTAAATGTTTGAAGAAATTTAAAAAAAGCACTTAAAAGGGGAAAATTATAAGTAAAATGGTATATGGAGTACGAAAAATGTAGGTACTTAGGCGGGTTGGGTACATAAGCGCGGAGGTACTTAAACGAGGGATTTTATTCAGAATACATTAAAAAATTCACGGTGCCTTAAAATGTTGGGAACTTAAGCGGGTTATGTAATTAAGCGGGGGGGTACTTAAGCGGGTTTCACTGTAATCAAGTTTTACTCTCCTAAAAAATTTGGCAAACTCACATACGAGGTTTTGCATTTTGTTGATACGTGGTTTTGTATTTTAACCAACGACGATATGTATATTGTCAATACTAAAGGAAAAATCATTTTGGGCTGTAATTTGAAGCTTTTGCAAGATTTTAAAGTCACAGAGCTATATGTGGATGCTTCTGTATCAAGAGCATACTAATCTTGTGGCCTCAACGGAAATTTTATGTAACATTTTATTTTGGAGAAATCGCTGTTAAGACGAAAATGCATAAGCGTAAGATATTGATTTAAGATACATACATACGTACATACAAACTTAGTTACTATGTATATAATAAATGGCTTTTTGCAATCAGCTAATTTCTTTGCTTTGAAATCAATTGGCTAAACACGTATCCACAAATTTTCAACAATAGAATTAACAAAGAACGCAATTAACCAATTGCTAAGTAGTGCCCCTAATGCCATCATAAAAGAAACACATAAATGTAGTGTAAAAAAAACAAAAAAAAGGCTATGTTAAACTCACCTGGGTTATTGAAAAAGTTTATATAAAAGTAAATAGCTGAATTTTAGCAAATTCCAACACTAAAATCCCAGAAGAAAATATTTTAATATGTATTATTGATGATGCACTAAAATCTGTCTACTAAAACCAGTTTTTTGTTGCCTTTCTTTTGCTTTGTCAATTACGATTTTCTATTGTACTTCTCCTCCACATGTTTGTTTTGCTTTTCGTTCGTATTTTCTAAAGCCCCTGTTAGACGTGGCAAGTTGAGGTAGCTTTGAATAGTCTGTTGACATGTTTCCTTGGGTTATCCAGCTCAGTATCACGATCATTTCTCACGGAAACGGTCTGGATCGTTCTTATTGGAGTTGGCAGCACTAATTTTATACTACTACTAAATGGGGAAAAGTACATTTAAACGAAATAATATTCACTTAAACAAATATTTAGCCTAAAGAAATTTACTTGAAGCAATGACAGAATATTTGTTTGTGTATACATTCATTTGTCAGTGCTACCAAAACGTACTGCCATATTATCAGTGACACAAACCAAAAAGAGCCGATCATAAATTGAACCAGATCTCTATCAGGATCATATCGTTGTTGTTGCATTTGCGTGCAAATTTTTTATCCGGATCCCGATCATTGCCCACGAAAACACAGTATGATACTCTCTTCAGTCCGAAGTAGTCAGATTTAGTCAGAAGAATTTTTATTGGCAAAATCTTCAAAAGTGTCAAACTCAACTGAATCAAAATTAAAGAATACACCAAAAATGAGAATAATCTAAAAATTAAAAAAAGTGAATTGAAAATGGAAGGAGGCAAAAAATAATATATATAGTGAGTGTTTATTGCACTTGTGCTTGTGTGAATGTGTTTTGTAAACACATTTCTATTCTTCTTTGACATTAGTTATGTTGTTGCCATTCTTTGGACTAAAAATTTAGTTTTTTGCGTTCCTTTACTTTTTCCTGTTATTATCTTTTAAAGAGCGCATTTTGCTTACGCTCTTGTATTTTGACACTTTTCAGATTTTAGTCAGAAAAGATAAGAAATAGACCTACTGGCAATTTTTTCTTGACCGTTTTTATGCAACTCTGTAATAATTGACAACGATATGTATTATCAAAACAAAAACAGCTGTCATTTTATTTTCCTTTGCCGAGCGGACTCGTACTCAAATATTAGAACAAATTTCGCTGAAACATTTATTTGCTGCATAAACTAAGCAATATTTATAAATTTTACTCGATGCGCAGGTGTCAGTACATTATTTTAAATGCGAAAATAATTAAAAAGTGAGAATCACAAGGATTCGGCTGGAAGTTGACATCGGTGTTGGCGTTGGTGTTAAGCTAATCAAAGATGGAAGCGATAAAGGCACGTAGTAGCTGTTATATGATGAATTATTTATGAACTACAACCCAATTTGTTTATATTTAACATTTTATTCAAATACAGAATATTTCGCTGGGTATAATATACGGTCTCTGGGATAGCATCAAAGGAATGACACTACTACTACACATCGATGCTGAAATACACAAAATAAATGCAGAAAAAGAGGCTGAAAAGCAGCGTCGCATTAAAGAACGGGAACGTCGTCATCATCGCACTCCATCACCAACACCTTCGTCAGCTGCGGCAATGGCTAGAGAGGAGTTGAAAGAACTGTTGCAAGTCAGTGAACAAGAGAAACCGGACGAACGCAGTTTAAATAGTATGCTAAAGCGTACGAAAGCGAGTCAATCGCATGAACCAAAACCGTGAGTCAGATCTTTTGAAACCTCCAAATAAATACTTTTAAGTGTAAATGATTTTCTTTTAATGCAGGGAGAAGAAAATTGCTAAACAGGTCTTGAAATGTTGTCTCCTAAATGGCGGTTTCACATGGCTAAGTATCATATTGTTTGAACAATTGCTGTTGCCAGCGCTAAGATTTGTTTTGAGTTTATTTTATGGGAATCATACGTCTGAGCTGAATATGGTATGGGGTTGGGTACAACCTATACTATCGATTATTTTCGGCATGATGTGGGTGTTGCCAATTTTTCTGCTAAGTAAAATTGTCAGCTCACTATGGTTTGCGGATATTGCAAATGCTGCTTATCGGGTGCGCAAAGGTCAACCGCAGTTGATACCCAACATCAGCAAGTTAATCGCCGATTTTTTGTTCAATTTGCTGGTGCAAGCACTATTCCTGGTACAAAGCATGCTGGTGAACTTATTACCCGTACCCTATTTAGGCGAAGCATTATGTTTTCTACATTTATGCCTACTCTATTCACTATACTCGTTCGAGTACAAATGGTTCAACATGGGCTGGGAGTTGCATCGTCGCTTGAGTTATATTGAGAATAACTGGCCATACTTTTTGGGTTTCGGCATACCCCTAACCGTACTAACCAACATGACCAACTCTGTTATTGTAAGCAGTTGCATATTTTCTATATTTTTTCCACTTTTCATCCTAAGTGGCAATGAGGCTATTCCGATCGTCGACACCACGTAAGCAATGGACTACATTATATGCTATTTATTTTAAATTTTAATATAACTTTTCCTTTATAAAGTAATTTTCCTCTGCGCCTCTTCTCGCCCGTTATTTTCACATCGAATTTATTGTTTACTCGGGGGCGTCCTGCAAAGCTGACTGCAGCCAAGTTAGCTCAGCAGAAGAAACAATTGCTTCAACAACAAGAAAAGCAACTTCAACAGCATATGTTGTTACAGCAACGGATTGAAGAGGAATACCTAGGACGTAGTCGTAGCCGTCAAGAAGAACTCGAAACAACTGAGGATTTGGGCCCGCAACGCCGACAATCTTCGCGGTTCTCGAACTCTCCGTCGCCAACACGAGGACCATACCGCTACCAACAGCCGCCATCGCAACCGCGAATACCTTCAACAACGCGTAATGCAACCGTTTTCCCTGATCGTACCCAATTCATAGGGGGTGTTTCCCCTAGTGTACCATCATCTGCCAGTTCGTCAGCACACTCGGTGCAAACGGTGCGTCGCAGGTAGTCGAACAATTTTTTCGAAAAAAAATTTATATTTGTGCAGCTGTTGACCACAAAACGTAAACGACCTATCATATCGACTGCTGCAAACTACAACTGAATTTTATTCAAATGGACTTTAAAGTGTGATCAATATCGTTTAGTTTCGGTTTATGTATTCATATAAATGCATACGCATAAGATAAGGACGCTTTATGTGCTTGTTTCGCTAATACAAGTAAATCCCCTTTTTCGCTTAACAATCCTGATAATGACAATTACTCGAGCATACATTTTGTAGATGCTTATTCTTTATATATTTAAAAGCATATTTTCGCAAATTAGATATAAAGTTTTCAATGTATGTCGTAACAAATGAATCGGACAATTTTTTACTGTCGCACGTTTTATATAAGTACTCGTATATACATATGTACACAAATACGTATTGAAACGCGCTAATAATAATTTGAATAAATTGCAATCAACTTTTTTTAAAAAATGCTGTTTGAATTACTTAAAATCCAGCAGTTCGTCCGGTGGCTCATCCTTCACTTCGGGCATGTTGTGATATGTGGATACGGCAATCAATGTTTGTAATGCATCGAAACTCATTGTGGGATCCTTATCCTCAAGTAAAGACAATTTTTCGCTGCCGTTGGTATCTGTATCCTCAATAAATCCTTTGAAATTAGCGCATTGTGAAAAACCTGGATCCATCTGTAGCAGGGATTTCACAGTCGGATTGGCAAGGCCAAAAAATTTTTCACCTTGTACTTGCAGTGGCAACTGCACGACATCGATTAAACTGCCTTGCAAGGTTTCCAGCAGTCCTTTATGGCAAATATTTGCCGATTCGCCAAAGAAAACACTATCCAGATCGTTGTCGGGTATAATTTGGAACTGAGGCATGCCAGCGTTATTAAGTATTTTGCATGTGTATACACATTTCCGCTGCGGATCTTTAGGGTGCGCGTATATTCGTGTGGCCACATAGCCAACGGGATAGATCCAATTCGACGTATGAAAATTCGGATTTATAGGTATAATCTCGCCAGGTGAATGTACAAGTATATTGCATAAATTGATGGGGTACATTGGTTTGCCACTGGAGTCCAATGTCACTTTGTCGCGTGGCTTGTATCGTTTATCGATCTTTTCTTGACCCTGTGGCGGTTGTAAACGCTTCTTTGGACCACGTTTCTTAGGTACTGCATTCACTAACTTGACCGTGTTTTTCGTTGGCTGCATATTGGCTTCTTGCTCTATTTGCTCCTGTTGGTCTAGATTTTCGACGCCCTCGTGGCGCATAAGGCGTTTTATTAAGTAGCGGCGCTCTTCGCGTGCTATTGCCAAATCAGCCTGTACCTGTGCAACTTCATCACAAAGCGCTGCATTTTCCTGTTCCATTAAATAAATTTGGTGTTCATTAATATAATTCTTTTTGTGTAGATTTTAGAGCAATACTCACAAAAACGAAATTCTTTATCTGCCGCTTTAACCGTTTATATTTGGATTTATACTTGAAATTCATGACGCGAGTATATTGAATATTTTGATATTGTGGCTTCGACATTGCTGACCTTTAGGAAATTAAAATTACTTGGAAGCAGTCTTGGGAAAATTGGAGCAATTTCCTTCCGAAAAATAAACAAATCTCCCTTCCTCCCACCTACATATCCACAAGCTTGAGATGTGAGGCACCTCACTAGAGATGGAAAAACATTGACGGCTATCGATGTTGTAACGGCGCGCAGCGTTAGCCTTTGCTACGATCATAGAAATTTGCTACTATTTTTGAAAAGTATTAAAAAGTGCTATCTTGCTACGCAATCGGTTTCGTGAGGTGCCAATCCTGACGACGGAAAGTAGACTTTCGCTTTCTTAATTTGACTCCGAATTGCGTGGAAAAGTTGGAAATCTTGCCAAGTGTGACACGCTCTGTTGGAAATATTGCCAAGTCTGGAACGCTCTTAGAGTACAACTCCACAACAAGCTTTTCAGGAGTTCCGGGCTTTTCAGGCTTTCAGCCTTATAATTCAGCTATTGCTGAAAGTCTGAAAGCTTGTGTACTATGACACTTTGCGTTACGCCACGCGGCAGAAAACGCAACTCTAAAACGCTCTTATTTGGGTGTGGCTGTAAAAATATCCAAAGATAACAAAAGTGCTAAAAGCCAACAAAGGGAAAAGTCAAAAGTGTCAAAACACAATTTGGAAGAAGCACGAAGAAGACTGAAGCTTAAAAGCGGAGGAGGTTTTACAGCTAAATCCTTTGTTTATTTGTAACAAAAATTCCAGCTTATACCAATTTATCGAAGTCTTGGCAAAAGGGCTTCCTCCAAGAATAATTTGGTTACACCTAGCTGCTGTTGATGTGTATCAGGTAAAAACCAAAAAGCGCAAGCAAAACAAGGATAAGTATACATATGTACGAAAGGTGCTGGCATTTGGGGGTCTGGGACGCAATGCTGCTAAATGTGATATAGACCCCGCGGCAGCATACTTAACAGGATTTAGTACATGAGGAGCAGGGATAGGTGAGTGCACTTTAAAATGCCAACATCATCTACATACATATGTACATACCGCTCTTTCGCAAGATATTTGGCTGGTGCCAAATGCAAGTGTTGGCAAAGTTTTGAACGCGTCCATGACTACTGCTGACCTTCGTATATTTTTTTTTTGTTTACCCATAGTTTAACACATTTTCTTGACTACTACGAATATTCAAAGCAATTGCTCAAAACAATACTGAACACGACTGCGCAAGAGAATTATTTGTGCAAATATCTTCACTTTGTGCCACTCATTTACCCTGATCAGTGCTAACTATTTGCCATATCGGTGTTTGCGCGTAAATTCAATAGCTTCGAACAAATAACTTATAGGTCATACACAGGCGCAAAATGCGATGGATAGCGCACTTGGATGGTGGACCACGTCGTGTCAATCATGCTGCGGTGGGTGTTGGTGATAAGATATATTCGTTTGGCGGTTACTGCACTGGTGACGATTATCGCTTAAACGAATGCATAGATGTGCATGTGCTCAATACAAATACGTTGCGTTGGGCGGTTGTACCGCTGAAACGAGATGAAAATGGTTTGCCACTAAAGTATCCTGAAGTGCCGTTTCAACGGTAAGTCAATGAACATGATTGCAGTAACTACTCATATATACGCTTGTGATTTGATTTATTTACTTTTAGTTATGGCCACACAGCTGTTGCATATGGCGACAAAGTTTATATGTGGGGTGGCCGCAATGATGAGCAACTCTGTAATGTACTCTACTGCTTTGATCCGCAAACGTTGAGCTGGTTTCGGCCTGAAGTAAAAGGTGCAATACCAGGCGCTCGTGATGGTCACTCAGCGTGCGTAGTAGATCACTGCATGTATATTTTTGGTGGATTTGTTGACGAAATAAATGAATTTTCTTGTGACGTACACTGCCTTGATTTTCGAACAATGGAGTGGCGCTATGTACAAACATTTGGTGCCCCACCATCTTTTCGTGATTTCCATTCAGCGGCCTCTATATACGGGCGCATGTATATTTTTGGTGGACGTGGCGATAAACATAGTCCCTATCATAGTCAAGAGGAAATGTACTGCCCGGAAATTGTGTTTTTAGATATGAAAACAAAAATGTGGCATCGCCCGTCAACTACCGGCAAGATACCTGTTGGTAGACGCAGCCATTCAATGTGTAAGTTCTTATCGCACACCGTCTTCAAAAGGGTTACAACTCAAAATTTGGCGTTTTTGAAATTGCGCGCTAAAAATGTACGCAGAGCTTTTATTTACCTTTAAGCAAAATCTGCAGCAAACTTCTGTGATAATTTGTTAAAAAAAACCTAAGGTAAAGTCGCCCTTGCCCATATGATTAAATAGCATGTGCTACGAAATAGTTTTTCGCATTTTCTGACGAACGTATGATTTTGAGTTGTGACTCTTTTGAAGACGGTGTGCGATATATAAATACATATGTGCTTTTTCTTACAAGGTCTAACATTTTTGTAACTTTTTCTTATGCTAGTTATCTACAATGGTCTCATCTATATATTTGGCGGCTACAATGGATTACTGGACCAGCATTTTAATGATTTTTACACATTTGATCCGAAATCCAATTGCTGGAATCTTATTAAACCATTTGGACGACCACCAACCGCGCGTCGACGTCAAGTGTGTATAGTTAAAGACACGCACATGTTTTTGTTTGGTGGCACCAGGTGAGCAAAATGTATTGTTATAAAGGAGGTAAATACATACATAGTTTTAATAAAAGTACCGATTGAAAAATACTATTTTTGAGTATCTTGGGAATATTCAAATCTTCAAAAGAGATTTTAGTGTTTTTTCGTCCATTGATAGCGACAATATTTTCTATGTATTATTATCAACTAACCGAGTGTAATACATATACATATGCATGTATCTAAAACAAACGTTTGCAATTTCATATCTTTTTCAGCCCTGATCCCCAGAACAGCAACCAACTGATTGATAACAATGACACTCATCTGCTTGACTTTCAGCCTACCCTACGTACATTATCGATATTAGCCGTCATAAATTATCGTTTGGACACAACTTGGTTGCCAAAAAAACTTAAGTATGTTATGATATATTGCTTAAATGTTATCAATTAAAGCAACAATAATATGTTTATAATTACAGAGAAGAAATACGCTTACTGACACAGCCAAATTCATTAACAAGACCACTTAACCATGCAGGTTAACATTAACAGCAGCGTTCAACACACCGTACAACAAATATATCACAGCCAAAAACACCTATCGTGCGAATATTCATCAGCATACATACACAGCAACAGAAACATGCGATTTCAATAAAAAAAAAAAACAAGTCGAATCAAACAAATTACTTCGTCTTAGCTTAGCTACAAACGCATACATAAATATCACTCGCTTTTTTCTCATTGAATTTTTTATTGCACAAGTGTTCATACATGCCTAAAGTTTTTGTTGTTTTAGTTTGTTATCTTTCGTTCATTTAAAATTTAGCTATTAATGCATACAATGAAATGTTAATTTAAAAATGTTTTATTACATATAATTTTTTTTAGCCACTTTAGTCTAATGTTTATGTTTCCTCTTTAGCAATGTTGTTTTCAGCACTTACTTTTTTAATTAATTAACTCAGTGATTGTATGAGCAACAACAAAATTGCACTTAGGTGATGTTTTGTGGTATATATGCAAGCAACACAAACCAAAAATAAAAATAAATAAATCGAAAGTAATCAAAATACATTTGCAACGACAAACTGAATACGTAAAAACTACCTACAATTTTAAAACAAAAGAGATTAATGAAAACAAAAATGTTTATAAGACATGAAGTGTATTATGTACATTAAATAAAATAAATTGTATTTAAAAGATGCAACCGAAAAGTTCTTTTATTAATTTAAAATGCTTAATTTCAATAAAAGGCAAATGTTATTGTGTATCGTGGTTGAAAAACACTGTAGTAGGTTTGCCATTGCCTGCCGAGGAGCAACCGCTTTTAGAAGAATTTTGAAGTTGTTCGGATCATTAATACGGTGTTTACACGAGGCCATTCAAAAATTGGCTGCCGACCAACTTCATTTATACCAGCCAATTCTTGCCTTCAACTAAAAGTTGCCTGTAAAATCGTGTCATTTAAACATCGTATAATCGAGGGCCATACTTACACCTCGTATATTTTTTTCATACTTAGATAATTGCTCTTATTAACAATGTTTTATTTTTAATGTTCTCGGACTTTAAAACTTATTTAAGGGGTTCATTCAGATTCTGGAAGAAAAAGAAAGGAAAGTACACTACCTTTATTCTTGTTTTTCATTTTCGTTTTGTTGCATTTCCTTTTCACAATTTCCAAAACAGTGTGCTCGTTAATTACTAATTTGTAACTTTCTATAACTACCAGCTCTAGTTTGACTTTTCACAGTGTATTCTCGTCTTCTTGCACTGCCTTTCCCAACCAGGACCAACAGGTTCTCGGACGCATATAAATTATAATTTATCGAGAAAAACTGCAGATTTTAATAAAAAGACTTATGAATTGAATTCTATAGCACTCACTAAATTAGAAACGTAATCCATATCTGGCTTTCAAATATTTTAGAATTTGCATATTTTCATTACTGTCCGAAATGATTTCACAGTATTTCCCGCCAACCAGGTACTTAAATTAAATTTCTTATAACAAGCTGTATTAAGTCCGGTTATTAAAATGTGTTTTTGCGACCAAATTTCTTAGATAAGCGAAAACGTTTTATACTGAATGAACGCGCCTTTTTGCGGTTTATAATCCTTCCGCTCTGCTCAATTATAAAACTTACCAAACAAATTTTAACAAAGTAATACCTTTTAGTCTTTATGTTTATGATTAAATATTTATTTAGTAATTAAATTGAAAGTGTTCCTGTCAAGTTCATTTTAAATCAGCGCAACTCATACAAAAATCCAACTGATGTTACCAGAATACATTCTTTTCGCACAAATATTTTTCATATAAAATTTTACCCTAACACAATCAATAGTAACCAAACATTGTTATATATACGTAGCATGCATCAACAACCACATTTGCAGTTAGTTTTATTTCAAACCACCAGCGTTTCCATATATTCAGCTACAACTGCCGAAACACCTCGACATGGAGTAGTAGCAGTAGCAAAATAAAGGTGGCCCACATGTACGAATGAAGCCAATTGTGTTCTATCCTCCTTTGTTACTGACATTCTACGATGCACTATAAGGGAATAGCTTTTTGTTGCTTTTGTTTGATTAGTTCACTCCAAATCGGCGTGGGCGCATCCTTTAGCAGCATCCAGTTTGGCGAAGGTACATCCGGCGATAACCAATTGAAATCTGCAATATCTGTATAGTTATTTTGTGATCGATCCAAGCCGGCCAATTTAAAGTCAGCTTCAATTGTAGCGTAATCATAATTGTAGTCAGACACTTCGATTTGTGTGCAGTCTTCGATAATAGCCCGACATGTGACATGTAGGTATATGCGACAAGCGTTCGAAGAATGCAAACGCAACTGTTGGCAAGCCAGAGCAAGCGTAGTGCGTTCGCAATATTCAGCGAAGAGTGAACGCGCTATGGGTCCACAGAGGAATGTGCAATCGGTGGCATGCGAAATTTGTACTGAACCTGCATGCCCTCGTAACTCCACAAAACAGTGCTTTAGATTGGAAATAGTTATATCTTTGCCATTCAATTCCTCACCTTCTAGGCAAATGTATTCATTTTCTCTATTGGCTAAAGTCCAAATGAATGCAGCCCTATCATCTTTTGACTTTTCGGGCATGTCTACTTTATCGGAAGCAACGTTCACAACTCTGGGATTGACTAATACCTTAGGCGCTACTTTTTTGCCGCTGAATCCAAACTTCTTTTTGGGTATTAAACGCAACCGAGACTCCTCGCAGCTGGCACCTAACTCATTGAGTACATTTTGACAGGCTTTTATTTTGAAATCGGCTAGAAACATAGTAGATGTGGTTAGATAACGTTGCAACTCTTGAATTTGCAGTGTAATGTCGGCGAAAATACGTGTCAAATCGGTATTAGGTGTAATAGGACCGGGCATTTTAGCAGCTGCAGCTACTTCCGTTGTTTGTTGCAACTGCTCCTCTATTGCACGAACTCGTTCAGCAAATGTTTGAGCAAAATAATCGGCACCCTCCAACTGCACATTCTCCTTATTGCGTTGCTCTAATTTAACATCCAAAAAATTCTGTCGTTCCTTATTCCGCTTGTTTAGGCGTTCCAATATGGTCTCCTTCTTGATGTCGGCATGGTCACCGCCACTCAATGTGGTGTTGCTGCTTTGTAGATCAGCGTTCATGTTATTTGTCGAATTTTTCAGACTGGCTTTCAATACTTTGGGGGAAACACTTTCAAATTACTGATGTTTGTGGATTACTTTTCTTTTTTCTGCAAGTAAATTGGTGGTGCCTGTCCGGTAGCAGCGTCACGCATACGTTGCATAAACAGTAGCTTTTTACGTTCCTCTTCGGTTAAATGTGCTGGGCCACCGGTCGCTCTTATCCGCTCCAGTTTCTCTTCTGACGGCGCGGTAAGTCGCAATAGTCCGTAGCCACCACCGCCTGCGCAAACTAACCAGATTAGAGATTTAACATACGGATTGGTTGCCATTTAGAAAAATTCAAATTGTTGTGGGTATTTATTCTCTAGTCTTTAAGAATAAGTGCTAAATAATAGAGAGTACTTCTACTCAAGATTTACTTAAGAATTTGTGATAGTTTTGTTTGGAAGTATGACTGTTAAAAACGTTAATGTAGTAGGTACCCGATATATTAGGAATTTATTCTCGTTTCTCGCTCTCGGCACGCCAGACAGCTGCATCAATTTGGCGCTGGTTGCTGTTGCCCAAAACTTCGCCCACCTTGTAGAAATAATCCAAAGCCAATGGAAAGTTTTCGTTAATGTACTGGCGGAACTCTGAAAGTATGAAAGAGAAATTTTTTTATTAGAAACTATAAGCCTATCAGCATTTTCATCTACATAAACACCGATATATAATAATTGTGGATATGCGACCTATGTAAATGTACGATAATGATATATCTTTTGCCACTAAAATTTTTTTCGTCTTGCTTACAAAGTTCTATAACTACTAGAAAAGTTATTTTAAAACAAAGAAATCACAGATTGTTTAAACAGCGCACAAATTGATTCGCTTTGGAAAATACAGACCAGCAGATTGCCACCCCCACAGCGCACACCCGTTCTGAGTCATCCACAACAAACCAGTCTTGCTATTGTGCTTCTTCTTAAATGTATGAATTTGACATGTAGTACTGTCATTTCATTGGGCGACGTGCGATATGAGACTCCCTTACAAAAACAAAAGGGAGCTACAACAAATCCGCTGTATTGTGTAACAATTTGCCTTTAATGTAAAATGTTTGCTATTTTTCTTCAATTTACTATATGCGGATTGGAATGGAGTATAGTAGAAAAGTTTGACTTACCCCGATTGGTATTCATGCGATAATAAACTCCGTAGGAGGCCGCAAAACAAACAGCTTCCGCAATAAACAAAACCTTTGCACTGCCTTTGACAAGTTTCCAGAATGCTGGTTTTGGCTTTTTAGACAACATTACACAAAATCAAAAATAATAATTGTTAAATTACGCTTTTCCACGCGTTTGGACCGAATTTCATCACTTTCTTTCAAGTAGAGCTGCCTCCAGTGATGAAACGATACTTTTTGCTCGATACCAAGTAATTTTGTATCGATACTTTGAACCAAGAACTGCGTAGGTATCGAAAAAAATACTCGTATCAAAACCCGAAACCAACGCAAAGTCTCTTTCCTTTTTTTTTTCTTCACTAATATGAATCGCCCAGTATTTATGGCTGTTTAAACGCTAACGACCTTCAAGTATTGAATATGTTAATTTTTTTCCTGAACCCAGTATTTTTTTGCCAGATATGTTTGCTGTTCTTGCATAGGGAATCCATTTCCATGGTCGCAAAACCCAAAAATCTATTTAAAACATTTTTTTTTTAGTTCATTGCACCCTGTGCTTAAGTCAAAAGAACAAAAATTCAAAGATTTTTCATTTGACGGTCGGTCTTTAGGTCAAAGTAATTTTTCATTTAATTAAAATTTTAAAATGACTTTTAGAAGTAAAATTTTTGATTTTTGTTACCTAAAAACAATTTGTAATAAACTTTTTAAAAACAATTTACTTTTCTACTATAAAAGATATACACCTGGAATTTTGTCAACTTATAAACCAAGGTACAATAAAAGAACAAAGATAACAAGAAGGGACAACTCGTTATAATTGTAGCGAAAGTGCGCAACAGGGGCGTGCCTTCTCTTTTGCCCTAGTGCGCTTTTTGATTGGGTGAAAAGAGAAAGCACGCCCCTGTTGCGCACTTTCGACAAAGAACGTAAATCTATAAATTTACCTTCTTTAGTCCTATTTCAGAATTTTATTGAAAAACAGGACTATTCTACGGTGAGTGTACTGAGAAAGAAGAAGAATGACACTAACGCGGTTCTCACCCTGTACTTCCGTTAGTGCATTTGGTCCCAACCGATATTTGGTCCCATATAATCATAGTTGCCAACTTAGTGCTTTAAGCACTAGAGTTAGTGCTTTTTGAAAATTAAAACGCCAAAAATAATGGTTTAGTGCCTAGTGCCCTTTTTAGTGCTTTTTTCTGAACTAAAATTTCTGAATTTACAAGCATCTACAAATTTAAATGCACTAAAATGCAAACCATGATTGATAAAAAGATGAAGTTGCAAACCCACGTTCTTGCGTTTTTGTTAAATTGTATTCGCGTTGAAAATGCTAGCACGCAGTTAAGTTAAGTATTTATTTTTTTATTTTCTTGATTATTGATTGATTACACATTTCGAAAAATTTTAAATTTTTTTGCCACCTGAGTGGAACCGTTTTGTGTAGACTTTTCGGTGCTGACTCCAAATCTAGCTGCAGTTTCTCAAGCATGAGTGTGTATTTATTTAAACATGTAAATATTGTTTATTTTTTTACTTTTGTTTACCACAAACTGTTATGAAAAAGAGTATCCTTAGATAAAAAAAAATTTAGTGCTTTTAGTACGGTAAAACGCTCTTTTTTCCAAGGTTTGGTGCTTTTTGAAACTGAAAAGTTGGCAACACTGCATATAATATCCCATCCCGTCTAGATTATTTCCACTTGTTTTGACATTTGCATTCTAAATTATTTCCAATTTTATTGTTTAGTCATCTTGGTTTGCAAAAGGAAGTTTCCTGTTTTGTCTAGAAAGTTTCGTCACAAAGTTTAAGTTGTATAAATATCTGGTTAATAGCAAACATAGTGCTTAGTATCAAAATGGAGTTTCCACATCTCGGTCAACACTGCAACGAATCCACCTGTAATCGCTTAGATTTCCTGCCATTTAAATGTGATTCATGTAATCAAGTGTATTGCTCATCCCACTTCAACTATGATAATCATTCGTGTATTGGGCCACGTCGCAAGGATATGCAAGTGCCAATTTGCCCTCTATGTGGTGAACCAGTGCCCACAGCACCCGGAGTCGAGCCTGATCTAACCGTCGGGCGTCATATCGATCAGCAATGCAAGTCGGACACAAAAAAAATATACACAAATCGTTGTAGTTATAAAAATTGTAAAAAGAAGGAGCTTATACCAGTCAACTGCACGGAATGTAGAAGGAATTTTTGTCTACGCCACCGTCATACCACAGATCATGAATGCAGTGGTGCTTCCGTTGCAAGTGTAGATAAGCGTGCTATGGCAGCGTAAGTTAATTTACATACATACATATTATAGTGACGTGTATTTTGAGGTTTAATAATACAAAACATTTTAGAAATGCAGCTGAATACAGGCGTACTAACAAGCCAACTTCACTATTTAATGGGCAACCTAGACGTAATCCCATAGCAACTGGAACACAAGTGCAAAATATTCAAGGAAATATGGTTGGTTCAAAAGACCATAAAACATGTTTTCGCATTGTTTCTAATTAAAAACATTGTTGTATTTTTAGACTGAAGATGAGGCGCTAGCTCGTGCCCTTGCTCTGTCAATTATGGAGTTAGATGAGAATGCTGATCGTGAACGTCGAAATCAAACTGCTGTCAACGCGGCAGTACAATCGAATGCTACAGTACGCGTTGGCGGGCGTGATGAGCAATCCTCAAATGTAAAAGACAAATGTCTGCTTTCGTAGTTCGATTTAGCTGTTTTAATGGTAGAAGTTGTAGTTTAACAATTTAAAGATATTCTTTAGTAGTTTACAAGTATCTAAATACATACTTACTATACATAACAGCGGTAATTTAATCAATGAATGTCACATGCTAAGGGCCGGTTACTCAATATCTGGTTAACACTAATCTGCGGTTAAACATCGTTATCGACGTATTCGACTCCATGCATATGTCGTTCCCACGACAGTCGGGTCTAGGTAACCGGAACGACCCAGATTTATATCTTGCCAAGGACTGTCACTCCACCAACACTCCCCAAAATCTCTTTGGGGAATTTGTATGCTGTTACAACACCAACAACAACAACACTCCATGCATTCAACAGTCAACGTCGATAAATATGTTTAACCGGAGATTAGTGTTAACCAGACTTTGAGTAACCGGCCCTAAGTGCATTTGCATTTAGCGCGCGTTTATTGCAAGACTATTCATGATATAAATAAAGGGCCTATATCGTAAGTTTGTTTTTATGACATGATATATACAATTAATTTTTGTTAATGAATGTCCACATTCCTTAATTGAAATGCATATTTTATAATAGATTTTAACCAACTGAAACTTACCTGCTTGTGATTAAGCTTTATAGTGGGCATTAAATAATAATTTCAGACGCGTACATACGTATGTATCGAAAAACATTTTTAATCCTTTTGCGAATTCTATTTGAAGAACTATTAAGGAATAAAAATTGTTCGAATTTGCGCTTCATTTTTATAAACGTTTTGTTCAAACAGAATTCGCAGTTGGGATGGTTAATAAATAATATATAATCATTAATTAAAATGTAAGCAATTTCGCCATAGTTGTTATGTTTTCTTAGAGACGAAATAAACAAATAAAAAACAAATATTGATTATTTTATTATACACTCATGAGATGCATACGTATATACAATGTGCATCACTAAAAAAGTTGAGGTTTTTCCAACGGAAGTTAAAAAAATTTATTATATTTTAAGACTTCCGCCAAAATATTTCGGAAAAATATTAAGATTTACATGAGCTAAACCGATTTGAAAATACTGAGCCACGGAGAAAGTGCTCTGTGTTATCCACGTTCTTCAACAAGTTAATTGTCAGTGATAGAAATGGAAACCATATGTTGTTTCCGTGGGTTATGTCCCGTAACCAGTCCTATCAGTGCTTTAAACTCTAACCTTTGTTTGAAAAGGAATTTCACCGCTATCTTGACAGAGCGCTACCAACGCCTTTAGAAGTCAGGTTACCCGCCAGATGTACGCTTGCTACAACCCATTTGCCGTCTTGAATAATAATAATATAATAGATTGGCGCTTACACATATGTTAGTGTTTGGCCAAGCTTCTCCTCCGATTTGTGGCGTGCGCCTTGATGTTGTCATAGAAAGCGGAGGGACCTACCGTTTTACGCCGCCTCCGAACGGCGATTGTATATTTATGAGAAGTTGTTTTTCATGGCAGAAATACACCCGGGGGTTTGCCATTGCCTGCCGAGGGACGACCGCTGTTAAGAAAAACCCTTTTTTCTATATTGTTTTGCGATGTTGCTTTGACCAGGGCTTATTCTTCTGTTCAGGGCTGGCATAGAGTCTAATCCAGGGCCAGAAATACACACCTTCTGCGTATGCCAGAGACGAGACACTTGGCTGAGCAGATAGACGATTCGACATTCTGCACAATGATCGACGACGCACTCGTTCCCACGACAGTCGGGTCTACGTAACCGGAACGACCCAGATTTATATCTGGCCAAGGACTGTCACTCCAGCAACACTCCCCAAAAACCCTATGGGGAACTTGTATGCTGCTACAACAACAACAACAACGACGCACCCATCATAATTATGGGCAGCTGCAGTAGTTCGCCTTATATGACAATCGTAAGCGCTGGTCTGATAAACAGCATAACGTAGACCGCTATGATGACTCAAGCATCAGATCATCTGACCATAGTCATGTCGATTAATAAACTAGCCGACTTTGTTGATTGGAACGGCTTCGCGGAACTTACTGAAATCACCTTCTCTGCCCCCTTCACACCAACCGACGTTCACGTAAGTTCCGCAGGGGTGTCACTGCTGCTGCAGCCCGCTTTATCCCAGCCGGATGTATCTCGGACCCCCCTCCGAATTTTCCGGCCGAATCTGATGAGCGAGGCAACCTTCGTCAGGCCGATCACGGACATCCACGCATTAGGGATCTTAACACGGAGATTCGGCAACTTGTGAACGTACATAAGCGGAAGAAGTGGGAAAAGCATCTGCGGACTTGTTACTTCGCCTCTGGTGTGAGCAAGCAATGAGCAACCATGCGGTCACTGCCCAACCCAACGAAGCGTGATGAAAGTGTCGAAATCTCTTTCGGCGACTGCGCTTCGTCGGACCCAGAGCAATGCGCGAGTAACTTTATCCGACAATTTAGGTAGGAAAGCGAAGCCTCCAATGACATAGGACCCGACTGCATATGCATGCTGATGCTGAAAAAACGGTGTCCTGCGGGAGTAGACTACCTTACCAAAGGGCTCAACCAGTCTAAGGGCACTCATGATTCCGGACATCTGGAAAATGGTTAGAGTGATCCCACTGCTTAAACCGGGGAAACCGGACAACAAGAGATGGTCTTCTTATCGTCCGATAACCCTCCTGTCCTCTGTATGGAAGATACTTGAGGGCTTGCTACTCCCGCACTACACGAACCACCTATCCCCAGCGAGGAATTAGCATGGGATCCGTAAAGTGCACAGCACAACAACAACACTTAATGCCATAAGCACTCAGATAACACGTGGCCTAAACCGAAACCGCCCTTGTGGGAGAACAGTCCTAGTACCATTGGATCTGTTAAAGGCGTTTGACACCGTCAGCCACTACACGCTACTAGAAGACATTGAGGCTTCCTCTCCCCACAGGGATTCAAACAGTGGTCAGCGAATTATCTGAGTGGTCGACATTCGTCAGTCATTTTTAGAGACAAAACTATAAAGCCAAGAAAAATTAAACAGGGGGTTCCACAAGGTGGTGTCCTTCGCAGCTACTGTTTAACTATTATATTTCAAAGCTCCTTCAACCACCAGATGGAGTCTCTATGGTCTCTTATGCTAACGACTGCTCGATAATGGCGTTTGGGATTCGAATTGATGACTTGTGCTCGAAATGAAAAGGTTACCTCTACGAAATTTCTCCCTTCTTCCCGGCAAGGAGCCTAACCCTCTCCACAACTAAATCCTCGGCAGTTCCTTTAACCACCTAGACGACGCAGGTCAGACTACAGCTGGGAATTCACGTCGACGGCGTACAAATTCCGGCGGTTAACAACCCGAAAATTTTAGGGGATAACTTTAACAGCCTGCTCTCCTTCTTCGCGCACACAACCGCAGTTCTCAACAAAGCACAAGACGCTCGCCGGCAGCATACAAGGCAATTCTGAACCGGCGGCCGGCTCTGAACTATACTGCGGTTTTTTGGTCGGCGGGGACTAGTTAGACGCTGTGGACGAAGCTAAAAACTTGTCAGACCCCCGTACTCCGGACAGCGACAGATGCCTTCTGATGTCGCCTGAGCACCACCTGCATAGCGAGGCCCTTACAGACCCAGATACGTCAGAGTGCAACCATTTGAATACATGTCTCGGACCAGACATACATTGACCAACCACTGGACCCAATGACGTACCGACGAGTGATCAACGGCATTCATAGGGAGTCGTAAGGAAACGAAGGAAAGCTCATCCTCTGTCCTTGTGTGGAATCATCTGGTCGTCCTCGAGACTTGCAATTACCAAGTGGGTAAACTCAGAATGGAATAAGTAGGTTGCGATTTATTATTAGGAAGCGGATAGTATATTGGGCTGTCAGGGTTAGGGACTTATGATACGGATTACACCCAATCTCCAAATAATATTCTTTCTCGATTTTAAAGCCACATTCGATAGCACGAAAAAGAGCTACCTATGCGCCACAAAGACTGAATTTGGTATCCGGGCGAAACTATATGTGTAATACAACCAGCTCCAAGCTCTTTCATACTAAACTATGATTTCAAACAGGGCGACTCTTTATCGTTCGACTTTTTTAAGAGCAAATACAACTAAATCGATCAAGAAAATTTAGTTTAGAGGTTCACATTAAGCAAACAACGCATTCCCGTTGCAGAGGTTTATGCCATCGGCGTTTGTACGAAAGTGAAAGGAGACAGCACATTATCGTTTGTAACGATAGTCAAGCTGCACCATCAGTAGTAGGATTGAATACCCTGGGGGAACACAACACAATACAGCTGATGTGGTTCCCCGGTCACAAAAGTATTCTTGAAAACAAAGAGGCTGACAGACCAGCAACGAAAGCTGCAGCTACCCGACCAATAGGACCAACATCCTTTCTTGCTGCGGGACCTCATACTGTCAGGGAAGAGATAAGAGTACAGGAACATCAGTTCAGAAGAGCCCATTGGGAGAACACACCTGGGCTATGGCAGGCGAAAAAAACGTTTGTGAAGTTACCGTCCCAATTGATCTAGAGAACTAATTAGCCCCCCAAAAACAAGTTTAATATAGATAGAAATTCGCTAACGGATCATTGCAGTATACGAGCCCACATGAACATCCTTGGCATTAGAAATCCTGTTGCAGCTCCTTCTAGAATGCGATGCTGTTGCGAGAAGAAGACTAACATACCTGGTACAGTTGTGAACAGAGGTTAAGAGAATTCACTCACTGCGGTCCCCGAAACTGTAGGTTTTATCAGGGCCCTAAGGCACAATAAATCTAGTCCAGCGAATTAAAAGACAGCAGCTCCGCTGGCTCAGTCTCGTAAAACAAATAGACGTAAACTATCAGCGCTGAATGCGCCAACTCTCCGATGGGTAGCCTAGATGAAGAATGTCTTTGCTTCACGGGTGTCAAATAAAAAGAAAAAGTTTATAGGGTTGGTCGAATGAAGAATGGCCGTCCTTGTCACCAGTTCCGGGTCTATTCAATTGCTGAGTAAGATGCCTTCTCTTGGACAAAATGGGGACTATAAAGGACCCAAAATGGTTACAGAAGATATGGCGCAAATCAACCGGCGAAGACTTTCGTTCCGCTTGCGCTTTTCTATCAAAGTGTTTATTGCTGGTGAACCTAAATAAAGGTTACAATTTAAAAACTAATTAATAAAGTTTAGGTAAAATACTATGTAGAAAATTTATAATGAAATACTTTCTTCGCAAAATCTATAAAGGACCATTTTATTTTGCCGATAGCTATTCGTCGCCGCGCCGTACATGAACATACATCCAGCTTTTATCCATCTGAAAGAATTTAAAAAAATGCAATCGTTTCCAACAGCTGGAAGTGAAACTTGAAAATTCCTGTAAATTCGCATTCGTGCAGAAATTTGCAAGTTCCTCTACTTGAGAGAGAGAGAGAGAGAGAGCTTTTTCTTAAACGGTGTTCACATGAGGCGATTTTCTAGGTACCTTTAGAGGCGATTTCTTGAACCAAAAGTTGGCTGCACCCCAACGTCATTGGAAGCGATTAGTTAGTTGAAAGGCCGTTCACACCAGGCGATTGTTGCTTTCAACTAAAAGTTGCCTGTAAAATCGCCTCATGTTAACAACGTATTACTCTCTGATATTTTGAGTGAGGGATATTTCTTGTTGGATTTTCGACGAACAAACAAACCGGGTTCTGAGCTAAGTTTAAAGTTTCAACTCGGTAAAAATTGATTACCATTGATTACACACAGGTGAAATTTAATAAAATCTTGTAAAAACCAAATGAATGTAGCAGGTAACTGGTAAAATTAAGCTGTTTCTATTATTTCTGCCACCAGTGTATATGAAATGCATTGATGTATGATATCGTACCAAAAAAGTACTTTTAAACATGATGTT